GATTGATTCTTCACTGTTCACTTCGAAGTCTCTACCTCCTCACTCCAGGTACTCGTGAATCACTGGCTACCAAGCCTAGACCGACAGGGTGAATCGTCTCAAGATCTCGGCAATTCGTTATGCATAGTCCTTTCTGCACTATCCCGAATTAAACAACAGCATCCGTCCACTACCCGGGTCCCTGATGGTCTCCTCGAAAAGATATCCGAACTTCTGGAGAATCCTTCCACCTACAACGTCCTCACTACTAAGGACATTTGCAGCTTACTTCTCTACCTTAGCCGACTGGAATGCTATTCTGCATCAATTTTCGGCAGCGTCGTAGAGAAGCTCGATTTCAGCATTCTCTCGTGTGAGCTTAACCAGTAGTGGAATATTTGGCTTCATATCCAGCTTCATAATATTAGTTCGCTTACTTCAGCTGAGCTCATGAGTTTCTTCACTAATTATGGATGTTCACATACGAATTAGGGTGGAAGTTGACAGAAACCAACAAGAATCTTCCTAACTTTTCATATCGTCTCCGATACATGTAGTTGACCATGTGCATATTTTCCCATACTGACCATAACTCTGGGCAATCGCCGACTCCTCGAGTCATTTTCTTTCTCAGGTCGCGACTTGGCAGATCTGCAGCAAGCGTTCAGCAATGCCGACTTGGTCTCCATCCCTCTCCTCGCGAACACCCTTCCTCGAGCATCCCAACTCCTCCTTGATTTCATCAATCCCTCGTCCAGTACTACGAACAACGACCATCGAGTTTCCCTCCGAGATATCAGCATCATCGCCTCGGCATATAGTCGCAGTTATGAAGATCTCCCGTCAACAGACACACGGTCGTTCTTCGCCACATTAGCGCTCCTTCTACGGCGAAAGCTCGAGCAACCAAACACTGCTGCCGAATGCTCTGTGAAGGATGCGGTGTCCTTCTTGGTATCGCTCTCTAGGGTTGGCATCGATGACGATAGCCTCTACGAGATCCTCTTCTGTAAAGAGGTGCTCCCTCATCTCTCTACACTGGAAGCTCGGTCGGCCGGCTATGTCCTCAGCGCCTACGTCAGTATAGAATGCCAGAGACGACGCCGATTCGAACTTCAAGGTCTTGAGAGCATTCCTGACACTTTCAGCAAGTGCGCTGAGGAGCTCCTCGATGAGCTTCGATCGAAGGCTGCTAGTATGGCTGTTGGTGCCTCTTCTCGTTACGGCATGGAACATCTCAGGGTCCTGGTCAACTTCGCGTATGAGTTCGCTAGACTAGACGCTGGCACTGGGAGCGAGGCTCACATCTTGACTGCCTTGGAGACTGCTATTCGAGAGAACATATCAGGAGATGTGATAGCATCATCGCCGCATAGCGTAGCCTTAGCAGCCTCGGCATTCAGTGGCGTTCCGGACAGTCTGCTGATGAACGACCGTCTCCCTGCAATGTTACGGGAACCTCATAGAGGCCGTAGACCACTCGAGTATTTCTCGAGTCGGGATCTCAGCCTCCTTGCTTCAGCTGCTGTGAAGCATAGTCAGCTTTCGGGGTCTACACAGTTGGCAGAATCGGTCATTTCGTACGTTATGGCTGAAGACGGTCTTTTTTCGTCCGGAGGACGCCGAGGCTTCTCTCGAGCTTTCCTAGCATCATTAGCCGAAACTTTATCACCGGTTGACCCCAGGGTTATTGAGGAACTCTCAGCGGCTGAACGGAACACCGAGTCAATCAGCTCGACAGCAGACGAGATCTGTGCCCTGTGTGAGGCCTCGACGCAGTCAGGAGTGGGTTCGTTTCCACTGTAATTCGTGGTGAAACTGACCTTCTCTCCAGGCACTGATACCCCGCCTTATTGACCTGCTTGAAGGGTCCCTCGCAACGTCGCCCATCCCCGTCTGGTCGCTGGACGAGTCTGCATGTATATTGCGATCTTTGGTCTCATTGGGTTGCTTCGGCGGCCGACAGCTTTCGGAGGAAACACAGAAGCGAATAGTTTTCGCGATCGTCCTTGTGGTCAAAGCCGCCTCATCGACGAGTCATGTTGGTCCGAGGCTGAGTGCACGAGCGTTGCTGCCATGGTCATCACTCGTGAATAGCTGCTGCATCCTTATACTGGAACATGGTGACCACGAGCTAGATATGAGAGATAACAGTGGGCGGTTGAGACGACGCGGAGTGCTACAGTTGTCGCCAGAAGTGAAGCTTGCTTTCAAAGAGCTCCTTCTCGCTCTGGCTAGCAGCGCAGTTGAATTGGAAGCTAATCCAGCGAAGGCCGTGTGAGCTCGAGTCCTTTTCGTAGGGGGAGCGAACCTGTTCTCTTTCAGATATCTGATGTGGCCAATACTTCAGGCTGTATCCTCACTGGACAGTTCTATTGACCGATCAATGGTAAGTATCTGCTGATCATCCCGTACTGACCTCTACGTTATCGCAGCATTTGGAGTCCTGTGGGATATCAAATCATCTCAAAGCACTGCTGATGCGGATGAATGAGGATTCGAAAAGCATGCCCTCCTCGCGGTGTAAGTCCGATGCATCTTCTTTTCTGCGATGTCTTGGGGCACTACTGTTGAGGTTTTTATCACTCAGACGCGGCCTTGGCACTCCACAGTCTAGCTTGCCTGCGGTTCAACGATATTCCACCATCTGCATTGGGAGTTCTACTTGACAGCTACGAGCGTCAATCGCATGTACATTCTCTAGCGGTCCTCATGCCACGAGCCCACGACTCAGATGAAACTCCGAAAACCCGCGTCAGGCGATGTTGCTAGAGTGATACACTCACTCGGTCGACTCGGCCGAGTACCGACACAGTTGCCCCTACAATTACGAAGTTGGCGATTCAGAACTCCCTGGGAGTTAACCACAGTCCTGCACGGTCTAGCGCTGCTTAATCTCGAGTGAGATGCTCTCATAACACTGAGAGCTCATCGCTCGTCTTCACTAGGAACTCCACAATCTTCCTCGAGGCAATCCGCAGAGTATCGGAGAATGGCAGTCCAAGCTGGACCAGAGCTCACGCTAGACAGGTGAATCTTGACCGGTGTGGTTCCACGTCGATCTGTCGAGCTGGGTTGCCAGTCGGTGTGCTTCCGTCGTTAATTATGTCCACATCAGGTTCTTACATATCACCTCTCGGCTTATAGTTCTGACATCGGGCCCTTGAGAGGAGATATAATACTCTTGCGAGCAGCTCTACAGCTCTACAGCGCCTTGCAGACCTCTCAGGATGTCTCAGGATCGTCTTCTAGTGAAATACATGCAGCTCTGTACGAAGCTCTGAATGTGTCAGAAAACAGCCATATTCTGGTGTCCTCGGAGGTCCCTGCTGGGCCGTATCAAATTGACTCGGTCGTCTCATTCCTTCATCCATGATGTGTTCTTAGCAAATGTTTCTGCACTATTCACTGGCTCCTTGAGTATTGCCGGGATGTATCGATGAAAGGTAAGCCAAATGTTGACACGCCAATCGCACACATCGGATGAGCCCCACTATCATTTCCTGATGCTGCACTCGTCAGCGCGTAAGGATGACTTCAACTGAGGGCCAAAATCCTGACGCCGGGTAGTTCAGTAACGAGTAGTAGCCAATAATAGCACCCTTGAAATGAGCTGGACCATGCTATTCGGGTATGATACCATTACTGGACTTGATCCCGAAGGTTTCGTTATGACCAACTTGGGAATAATATGAATAATGCTACACGGGTGCTTTGGCTTCCAGTCACTGTGCATCGGGTACCAAATATGCCAAACCCACTAAACTAAGTTAACATTGACCCAAATAGAGTCGAGGTAACCGATATAGGAGTTCTAGTAATTCTATGAAATACTCACGAACCAACTAGCGTCACAGCTTAAAGGTACTGCGAGCTGTACGCCACAGACACAACGGGGACAGGGTAGAGACGGTCCGGCATAACTGCGTGTGAGACACCTATGCTGCTTCCCGATGAGATCGGTCTCTGCAGGTGGGGCGGCTATGCCGTCCGAAAATACGCCTCAGAAAAGTAAATTCCTGCTGGGGGGGCGGCTATGCCACTCCACCATATGCCTCGAGAAATCAATTTCGCCAGTGGGGCGACTATGCCACCCCACGGTGTGTCTCAGGAAGATCAGTTCTATTGGAACTCTACTTCACACAATGTGCGGAAATCAATCCCACTGTTCGGGAGGCCAAATTCGTTCGGGGTAGGTTCGTCAGACACCGCACATCCGGGCTGGCATTTCGGACTAGTTGGTGTCACCCAATATGGTCAGAATTACCAGTAACGCAGCCAACACTAGCTTATGCGCTGAGATATAAAATCTTCAGTTATTATTCACAACCCATGGCTGCCGGTTGTAATGCTAGCATGATAATAGTGCTGAATGGGAATTTCTCTCTGTCGACTGACACGAGATCAACAGATTTGTGAATCGTTTAGTTATGCTCCAGAGAGAAACCCTGATGCTGATGGTAGATCATAGAGGCGGTAACAAACGTTACTCCGTTGCTTTTTGCCTCGCTTGACAAGGCGGCGAGGTTCCCATGTGGCTCACTTCTTACAATGCGCAACTCACTCTCTTTGATTAAGAAACAACACTAGGGAAGACATGCTCTAGTAGCTATCTTGAGGTTTCCTGGCTACTCCGCCATAGATCATACTCAGATCTCCCGGCAGTTCCACTGGGTTACCCTCAAAGACTTGATGCTTCTGCTTCATACCGCCGAGGATATAGCGAGCAAGCTGAAAGGCATCTAAAGGTGCCCAAGCTGGTGACTTACCCTGAAAGGGATGTCTTCATAGTCCATCCCAATCCACTCTTCCTTCGGCGAACCTACAATTTCAGCAGTGAAATAATCCCAAAACTCCAGCTCGAGTGTATCCAACCAAGCCTTGTGAAATCAGCGTGCTAATGGGAACTCAGGCAGACACCAAACGCACACTCACCTACGACGAATCCAGTCTCACTCAGCAGACGCTCCATCTCTTCGGGAGTGATGAAGAGTCTCCAGTCATGGGTATCGTTGTACATGACCTGAATTAGTGGCAGAGGCGATTCATACAGGTAGAGGCGATCTCGCACCTGGAGGATCTCTTGAGCAATCAACCACACTAAAAGGTAGCTCTTGAAGTTCCTCGATATAGTGTCGAATACGACAACCCCGCCTGGCTTGAGGACACGATAGATCTCCTGGATAGCCTTCCGCAGATCCATCAAGTGGTCCAATACTTCGGATATGATAACACCATCGAAGGAGTCATCAGGAAATGGTATATCGTATGCCGATCCAACTTGATAGTGTAGATTGGGAATATGGCGTCCATGCTCTCGCGCTTGTCGCAGGGATGCCTCACTGATATCTATACCGGTGATATTATAACCGTAAGTTGATGCCATATCTTCAGTCAAGAGACCGCCACCACAACCCACGTCCAAGTATCTTCCTTTAGAAGGGATCTTCCCGCCTTTGGAGAGATGACGATGGAAAAAAGGACAGCGAATGACGTTGGTCTTCCTCAGAGTGTAGACGATCTCTTCCTCATCCCACCAAGAAACATCATCATATAGATGGTTGTCGATACGAGTATCTTCTTCCTTTATGACGGCGAGCCTGTCAGGATAGGGAGTAGGATTGAACCTCGACCTCGAGAAGAGCAGTGCTGCCAGAACAACAGCCGTCGACGTCCCAAGCACGCCGAAGGAGACCATTGTTCTATAGGAAAATGACCAAACACTCAACT